CTACTAGCGAATTCATCATCAGGCCCAGGGATGTTCAACATCTGGTGTTGATTGGGTTAAGAGGCATATATCCCTATGTTCCTATCGAGGTCATGAGACAAGCTGGTAGAAAACAAATCATACCGCAAGTCTCCAAAATGAGTCATTACAAAGCTGATTTTCAGGATGACACCCTTCCATACAAATGTGAGGCCCAACACATGTGGCATTTGAAGATTATCGTGGAAAAGGATACCATCAAGCCATATGTCATGTGTACTTCTACCCATCATGGTTGGAAGATAACATAGTAGGAATCGTCGAGCCAGGGATTGGTCAAGGAAATAGGGTCATAGATGAGGCTCCTAAAGCACAGGTGAAGTATGAGAGGATACGCAAAAGAGTCCTTGAGTCCGAAGCCAGGCATTTGGAACAACACAAAATAGACATGGAGTCAATTAACGAGTGGAGGGAAATGGCTACAAAGTCGATAGACAGGTTGGAATATTTGGAGCATGGTCTAATGGAACTAGAAGGGAAGATGAGGAAAAGGGTCGCAGATTGTCATAATGTTGAGGGCAATGAAGGAGGACACCTAGCAAGGGCGTACCTACTGATGGACATGCACGACCTGGGGAATCTTATCAACGAAGCCAAGAGGGTCAAGTATGGAGAAGGTCCCTCTAGGACCAAGTGGATTAGGTTTATCTGTTTTTTGAATCGTTTTGGAATTCGAATGTAATAAGGCAGATGCCACTAATAACTCATTTATTTATTGTTGTTCTTAGGTTCGTCTTATTTATTACATTAATGAAATGACGAATTTATCGGCATTAAATTTCTCCAAATCTACTTGTCGCTAGGCCTACCTCGGGCACAACGAGGTTCCCAAATTAGGACGTGAATTTACATTCCTGCAATACGTGTTTAAATACTGAAAAAACTTTTCAGAATCCTTGCTGACTTGTTTACCTCTTTGTTTTTTTTCTTTATTTTGATTATTCTCATCCCCTAAGGTTGGTTCACACATACTGGCATCGTCAGCATATCACACCAGATCAAGAGGCCTTCCACCTCCTCCTTCTCCAAGTAATCCAAAAAGCAAGGGAAAGGCTAAGATGGATGATATGAGTGGTATCCGGAAAAAAAATACTGCACATGTAGAGAATGTTGAAAATTCAGATGGTCGGAGTACTCTGGCACAAAATGATTTGGTCCTACTGTTGGAACAGAAGGTACTAGAATTGCAAGGGGAGCTTGAGTAGGTCTGCAACCTGCAAACCTTTACCTCACCCTAAATGTCCCAGAAATTAACTAACAAAATGCTCAAAACCTAGTACCTCCTCAAAACACAACAAACCAGCGTCTGCAAAACCCTCCTGCACTCCACCAATACGCAACACCTCCCTAAAATCCTAATCCTCCACCAGTACCAGCACCCCCTCAACACCAGCATCTCCTAACTCAATACCCACAAAGCACTTACCATACTCCTCAAAATACCCTGCAACCTATCCCTAATCCGCAAAATTCAACTAATGATCACCACTACACTCAAGCCCCCAGGAACCCACCAAAACCTATCCCATATACGTAGAAACCTTACCCCATTCCACTCAACCAATATCATACACACCAAAATCCACCGAGAATGACCTGGTCATTAGGAATATGGTGGAGGAGCTCAAGAAACTCACAAACCGAGTCCAGGGTGTTGAAGGAGGCAAAGGAATTGAAGGTCTGAATTATGAGGATCTATGTATTTAGCCAAATGTGGAATTGCCGGAGGGTTACAAACCTCCTAAGTTCGAGATGTTTGATGGAACGGGTGACCCGAAGGTACACTTGAGAACATACTGTGATAAGCTCGTGGGAGTTGGGAAAAATGAAAGGATTCGCATGAAGCTATTCATGAGGAGTCTCACTGGAGACGCCCTATTTTGGTACATAAGTCAAAAATCCCAAGAAATGGGTTGATTGGGTAAGCATGGCATCAGACTTCATGGACCGATTCAAATTTAACATAGATAATGCACCTGATGTATTCTACATACAGAACTTGAAGAAGAAATCGACAGAGACTTTCCACGAATATGCTACCTGATGGAGGTCAGAAGCTGCGAAGGTTAGGACGACATTGTAAGAAGAGCATATGAACAAATTCTTCGTTAGGGCCTAGGATCCACAATACTATGAAAGGTTAATGGTCATTGAAAATGACAAATTCTCCAAATTTATCAAACTCGAGAAAAGGATTGAAGAAGGGATCAAAAGCGGGATGTTAACCAATTTTGAGGCATTGTAGGCTACGAACAAAGCATTACAGTCAGGGGGTATATCAAAGAAGAAAGAGGTAGGGGCACTGATGGCAGCCCAAGGTCCAAAATCTTCACTCACATACCAAACACCTCTACCTACATACCAACCTTCACCTCCCTGATAGCCTCAAACCGCTACTGCCTACCACATTTATAACACCCAGCCAGCCTATTATCATTCACCTCTAACCCGCCCGAACTATCAAAATCCCAAACCCAATTTGGATCGCAGACCACCCAGACAATTCACCCCTATTGATGAACTCATCGACCAACTATATGAAAGACTAAAGGCTGCCGGATATGTTACCCATATTCCTGTTGTCACCAAGGAAAACTCCTCTCAGTGGGTCAACCCAAACAAAACATGTGCATACCATTCCAGCATGAAGGGGCACATGGGCACACTATTGATGAATGCCGCACTTTGAGAGACACGATTTAGACAGTGATTGATACCAAGGTCATACAATCAAAGGAAGCCGCACCCATGTTCGCAACAACCCTCTCTCAAACCATAGTGATGAAGGAGTACATGTGATAAAAACTAATGAAGAGTGGGATCCTGAAGGATCAATTGGGATTATTTGGGAAGGTGACAACCCTAAGAAACTTGCAGTCACACTCACTCCTAATATGGTACAGATACAACCACCGGTCAAAGTTGAGGTAACCGCATCAGCTCCATTTTAAATCGTAGTTATAGCACCTGCAACTACACCTACTCTATTTGAAGTAGAAATAGCCATACCCTTCACTGTGATGCTGGAATCCACACCACCTTTCAATTCCAACACCGTACCTTGGGATTATGTTGTCGAAGTTCGGAGAAAAGGGAAAGCAAAAATGGAAGAGTCTGGTGTTGCACAAGGGTTGACCAGAACTAGAAGAATCTATCTACCTAAAAAATTGGGAGGAAAAAGCAAGGAAGCTGCTGCAAAACAACCCATCATTGAAACTGGTCCAGATGATCTCTGGAGGAAAGTACAGGCAAGAGAATACTCTGTTGTTGATCATTTGAACAAAACTCCCGCCCAGATATCCATCCTATCGCTGCTATAAAATTATGAGACGTATAGGAATGCTCTGATGAAAGTGTTGAATAAAGCATACGTGCCCAACAATATCAATAGCATAGAAATGGCCAATATGGTGGAGCAAGTGCTGGAAAGACACAAGATCACTTTTCACGAAAACGAGTTGATGCCTGAGGGATTGATCCACAATAGGGCACTGCACATCACAGTGCAATGCGAGGATAAGTTCATTGCTAGGGTTTTGATATATGAAGGGTCCAGCCTCAACATATCTCCGCTGACAACTCTGAAAATGTTGGGCAAGGGTTTGCATGAAATGCAAGCAGGAACTATGAATGTGATGGCGTTCGATAGGCCGCAAAGAGCCACAATTGGCGAAACCAATTTATGTTTGCAAATGGGTACTACTTGGTTTGATGACGAATTTCAGGTGCTAGACATATCCGCCTCCTATAATCTATTGTTGGGATGGACTTGGATACATGCCGCTGGGGCTGTCGCATCCACTTTGCACCAAGCTTTGAAATTTTAATGGAATCATCAGGAAGTAATCATTCACCGAGATGGAAGCAATCCCATTTATACCAACCAAACTGTTCTGGTCGTGGAGAATGGAAGGAAGTTGGGTGGAGAGACTTATCACAGCATCGAGCGTGTCAATGCAATTGAGCCAAATAAATGGTAGAGCAGCAACAAAGAAAGCATACTGGCATGGTCAGGGTATGAACCCGACAAAGGGCTAGGGAAGAAACTCCAGGGCATTACCAAACCAATACAGCGGAAGCGTCATGCTACAACTTTTGGGCTTGTATATTTGTATACATGGCACGAATATGATGATTGGTTGCCACTGTGGCGCGGTCCCTATCCTCTTGAACAACCAGTATCGCATTTAAGTCAGACCTTCCACCAGGCTAATACAATATAGGAATCCGAAGAAGAAGAAGCTTTGACTAGGCTAAGGAATCTGTTCTTAGAAGACGAAGATATGGATTGCAACGTGATAGTTGAGGAGGAGGGGGAAGAAGGCCTTACCATTCAGATGGTGGAGAGGGGAGTACTTCTCGGGAACTGGACCGCCACACCATCCAGGGCCAGACGAGTCCCGCGATCGCATGGCTACTAATATTATTTGAAAAACAAGTCTTTTGAGCATTTTGTTTTAAAACATCTTTCTTTCAGTATTTTGTTTTGGAAAACCTTGTTTTGAAGTCATCTAGACGATATTTTGTTTAACATTTCAGCATTTATCAAATAATTTTATGTTTTATTATCGTTATTTTTCATATTTTCTTCTACAATATTACTATTTCTTACCTTGATGAACCAATGACTGTGACATGTAATGAGATAACGCACCATAAGAATAGTGACTAGGAAGAAGAAGATGAGATACACTACTAGAAAATAGGCCTATTGGAACAATTTTCCTGGAACAGTTCTAAAACCATGAAAATAGATTGGATATTGTAATGGTTACAACCGTTACAATAGCATTTGGATGAAACCAACAAAATTTAGAAACTAAACCATTCCAGTTGATACATAACCATTACCATAGGCATTTCTTATAGGAACGGTTTTATAAACCATCCCAATATACCTATTTATAGGAACGGTGTTTGATTTTTTTTTATTTGAACGGGTATTTGTTCCCTCCTCGTTTCCCCTCAATTTTGCTAAACCCGCCAATAACTCCTTTTTCCTTTAATTTTTTATATATTTTATTAATGAAATTAAAGAGTACTCGATCGTCCATTCTCCACAAAACTATCACTGTCGACACATCCAAAGTTCATCCATCCACAACTCAATTCACCATTGAAATCAGTCATCTTTGTCAAGTGGCTAACCCTAAATTCCCAAGGTCCATTCGTGAACCCAAAATCCCCTAATCTCGACTGCTAACCCTAAACTCCCAAATCCCCAAATCCCAAAATTCCTAAAGTCCTAAAATCCATTTATTTCACTCGAAGGAGATGAAGAACATAGGAATAATTAAAGGCAGCGATTACAGGTGAAGAAAATATTCCAATCGCGATAAATTTTCGATCCAAAAGGCAATATGTGAGTAATCATTTTCAGGTATTTTTTTCTAATTTGGGAATTATCTTCTATATAATCGTTCTTTTTTTTTCTTTAAGCATTATGGCGTGAGCAGTGTATATGATTTCTTGCTTTCTTTTGATGTTTAGAACCCAAATTGTTTGGGTTTAATTTTTATTTGGGTATGGCTAACGTGGGTCAAAATTTATTTCAGTAAATATTGTGAATTCTTGTATGAACTAAATTTCTCCGGAAAGTTACATTGAATTTTCTGTTGTATGAGCTATTAAGCTGGGTAGTTTGGGTTATCGACTCTGAATTGCATGAGCTATGTCAAGAGGTACCTCCCATGCAATTTTGATTGTAGAATGTCGTCTCCTTGTTTTGATAAAAACTATCCTCAATAACACGCAATGCACAATTCCTGTAACATCTGTTGTAATTCTAAGCCTTCTGGTTTTGTGATCAAACTCTATAAGAGAGGTCTCCCATAACAGTGGAATATTACAATAACTTCCTCAAAATGTTGCAGCTTCCTTTTGTTGTCTTTTACCTGTGTGAATGTGCCTCGGCTAGTGGAACACAAAATTTGATTTTAGCTTAATGGATCTCATATATGGTATAATGTATCAGTTTGTTTTCGGTTTCCTTCTGCCTTCTTTCCTTTCTTCTCATTGATAATGCTTTCTCTTAACTAGTAAAACTATAGAATAAGTTTTATAATACTTATCATGTTAAATGTGTTTCCTTCTTTTACTTTCTATTAGTACATTATGTCTTTTTATTTTGTATAACAATGTACATGCTCAAATTAGAAAACTTGTTAGCAAATATAACATATGTGATCTTACTAAGAAATATATCTTCTTACTGTTAAATATAAGAAGTAGTTACATATGTGACTTCACATGTTAGATATCTTACGTACTTATTTTGATTTAACTTCTGCCTAATTTTTCTTGACTTGATCTCTCTTTTTGTCTCTGAAATCTGTTGTACATACCATTCCATGAACTTTTTCTTAGCCTTAGTGTTTTCGATAAATTTTATTCTCTTTGGATCTGTCAAGATGTAGCTATTGTGTAGGACTGTTTTAAGTATGGTGATTTCAAATTGAATATGTTACAGTCAAATACTATGGAGAAATATGTTATTAAAGAATAGATGGATCCAATAAAACCTGTTTGTTTGTAGATATTCCTGCTTTGTTCAAAGATATGTATGTTTAGTTGGTCTTCTTGTCAAGGCTTTGTTGAAGCTTTTTTAGTTCTTCTATTGATGGACCCTAATCATCATTTCATGAGGCACATCTGCTATAGAGCATTTTTTCTCAGATGCTTCAGATCATTGTTTCTTATGCCTTCTGATAAATGTGTATTGTGCTACTGGTACAAATTATTTCAGTTACATGTTGCAACTTTAAAATAGGTTATTCTGTCTCCTTAAAATAAATCTGAGGATCCAGATGAGTAGATAAAAGAATTATTGGCAAAATACAGTAGCAACCCTGATACAGAACACCGTTTGAAGTTACTTTTACCCAGAATAATTTCTATTTTTGCTGGTAACAAGTCCATTAGAGAGATAATATAGGATCTACAAAATCAACAGCAAAGTGCTGATACAATGTGTAAGGTTTTACAAATAAGACTTTTCTCATAGATGAATTTATGTTCTCTCTATTTTATACTATTTTTTCTCCACAAATGAATCTTGTATCTTATTTTCCTATCAATGAGTAAACATTAGAGCCATGCTTTATTTTCATTTTTCATGTGTGAGTTCATCTTCTTGATAGTGGTAACTTATTTCATATTTAATTTTTTGAATTTGACAGGAATTTGAATAGTCGTGAATCAGGAAGACAACTCAAGTAAAAACAAAAAAAAAGTTAAAAATTGCATTGCAGTTGGATCACTTGCATCTTTGCTGAACCAAAACGTTTCATCGTTGAAAATAAAAAGAATTTTTCATGCTACAAGGGAAAATGACAAGCATCAACTGAATTTAATTGAAAAATAACTTCCACAATTAAGAGCTCAAGTGCAAGAACAATTGTCGCAACTGCCTCTACCTTCTGTTTTTCCTCCAGTCCAAACTGTACATGTGCAAGTGCAGCAAAAGTCATTGAACTCTACCTCTCTTGCATCACAAGCAGTACGTGAACAATTGCAGCAAGTGCAACAAAAGTCACTGAACTCTACCTCGCCTACATCACAAGTAGTACCTGAACAAATGTAGCAACTACCACTGAATTCAACCACTCGTACTTCACAAATGGTACCGGAACAATTTGAGGATTTTTCCAATCATGAAACAAACGAACAATCTGAGGAACAAGACAAGAACATATAAATTTCATTTAGTTAAATTAACAAACAATATTGACTTTTGGTGATTATTCTTACTTAATATTAATGCAGGTCCTTATGCCGAAAAAGGAAAAAGAGGCAAAACTTTGATGCCAAGTGTTCATGGTAGGAAAGAGTACAAACTAATTGTGCTAAACGAGAACAATCAACCCATAGGTCCTACTGATGATGTTGTAGTAGAGTTGGGTAGCTTCCTCGACACATTGGCAAGGAATGCGACCTTTTGTCCTCTTAATGTGTTTAATTGGAGGAAACTTTAAACAAAAGAAGATATGTGGAAATATATCAAGGTTTGAAGTTCGCAATATTCTGTGTAGATATTTCATATTTTTACACTAACCTGACTATACCAAATTTGTAGGGAAAATATGACATTCTTGATGCTACAAAAGGTGGTTTTTGATTCAATCGCTAATGCTTGGAGAAAGTATAAGAATCAATTAATGAAATACCATTTTCAAGCTTATGATAATGATGAGCTTCGAATCGAGAAAAGGTCGGTTGATGTTCCTGAATCTTAATTTAGGGATCTTAATTATTGAAACTCTGATGCCTACAAGGTAAAACTAAGTACTGTCCCATGATTTGCTGAGAATGTCTGGTTTATGTTTAACTAGAAATCACTGAACTGTCTTTATAGATCAAATTCACTTAAGTTACATAACTTAAGTGCATAATTTAAGCTTGATTTGAATCTGTTAGGAAAACTGAACTAGACAACTCTGTATTCATTGACTGATTTGCAGAAAATGTCCAAAACCAATACCGAGAATCGCAAAAAGTTGAAATATCCACACACTGCTGGCAAAAGAAGTTTCGCTCGAATATGCGAGGTTTGATATTTTTTCTTATTATTATTATTCTTTTAAATACGAACTTACTAACTTTAATCTGAAATATTTTTATGTCACTTTTTATATAATTAGGAAAAAAAGAAAGAAACTTTTGAACCTCTATCAAGCAAGGATATCTTTGTGGCTACGAGAAAAAGAAAACCCGATCGAGTATACAAGGCCTCGTATGCGGATACTCTTAATAAAATTGTACGAGTTATTAATTTAAAGTTTGTTTTTATCATTTGTCTGTTCTTAGTTATTGACTTAGTGTCATATACTTTCTGATTTGATAATGAATCAGTTTGGTCTTGTAGGCTGAAATGGAAAGATTTCAATCATCACAAGAAAGTCAGTCAATCAGTTGATGCATTTGCATCAGTCATGGGACCTGAGCATCCAGGTCGCCTAAGATTGTATGGACGTAGGGTTACCAAGGCTTCCTTAAAGAGAAAAGTGGGAGATTTTGGACCCCCTTTAAGTTCGACTGATGAGATGATGCAACAAAAATTGGAAGAAAAGGAAATAAAGGATGGAGCATAGGATGCAAGAAAAGTTTAACGCACAAAAAGATGCCATGGAACTACAAGTTGTAGTTAACATCATTTCACAACGTAAGCATCTGAATCTAGATTTACGGGTTGATCCCACCATGCTAGATTTTAATGCTCGTTCACCTGGAGAAGCTTCTTCTGCACAACAAGTTGTTGTGCAACTAATCAATCGTCTATCTACTAGGAGTAATAATCAAGGTCAGTACGTACTCCAAATGTTACACCCCTTCTTTTCTTTGTTTCTTTCTTTCTTCTTCTCCTCCTTCTGCTTCTTTTCTAAGGTTACACTTGAACTTATTCTTCTCTCTTTAAGGTTATGTCTTCATCTAACTTATATATGTTAATCAAGAAAGTGTCTGGTTTTCTGCCACCTTCGGCCCCCCTTATATATTTGATTATCTCATTTTGGAAAGAATAATTCTGCTGTGCGTATATAATAAATGGATGATTCAGAGTTGATTATTTTGTGATTATCTCATTTTGGAAAGATGATTGAAATCTGACTTCAGATGGTTCTCTGAGAATAATCATAAATGTTAATATTACTCTCTTGTTTACTGGTGTAAATATGTGTTGTTAATGTAGTAGAATTACTTCTACTAGTTTGTGCGAGGAAACTGTGTCTATACCACTGGTGACTTTAACAATTTGAAATATTGACTGATACCATTATTTCTATTTATTTTGCATTTAGTTTTTTTCTCTTGATTAAGTTCTTATTGTCTTTTTGTATGTGTTTGCTCTCTAATAATTATATTTAGTCATGGTTAAATAGCGTAAAGATCTGTACTAATCCTTTCATATTGCTGAAGGGAAAACAAATGTATATTCATGTGTTGCTTGCATGTGTCTTTAATATCTACATCAGAAGTACGAGGCTTTGTACTATTTTAGAACATCAAGTAGGTTGACACTTTGTACTATTTTAGAACTTCAAGTAGATAATTTTTGTCTGATCAAAAGCATTGAGAGTAGATGAGGTGATTTTTTGAAGGGTTGTATTGCTTGGAGTTCTGAAGGTTTCCTTCCCTATCATAGTGCTAAACTCAGATTTCAATCCTATATTTTCCGTTCAAGTTAGATATAATGGTAGCAAGACTATCCGACTATGGATAAAGTGAAGTGTTCTTTGTAAAAATACTGCAGACCCAATCATTTCATAATTCTTACTAGTAATTCAGGATTCTATCTTAGGTTAAAACTTATTCTTACTAGTAAATGGTCAACTTTTCCACTCAACTGTAGCAGGTAAACCAAATAAATTGTCTAATGTACCATATGTACCCTATGACATATCTACTATTTGATTCCTTAGTATTTTTGGAACCTCTTGTTTCAAGTAACCAATTAGTTGTAGTTTTATATATACATTGATGTGAAGTTATGAATTGAGCATGTATAATACTCCTCTTAGACCTACTCTTCGCAAAATTAGAGTTTGGTATATGACTATAGTGTGTGTTGCTTTATTTTGGCATCCTGCTTTCCTGATTTATGTTCAGTTATATAGCTTCTTGAAGATTATAAGTTATTTACGTTATGTTTGCTCTAATAGGGTGTTAGGATGTTAAATGCAAGGGTAGTTGTTAGCAGCTTGTTTTGGGTGGTGATTATTTTGAGACTGATCTTGCTGGTGAAACTTGGAAGTCTTGGGAAACTAGTTTAGTTTGTAAATTTCCAGTTCTTGGATTTTTATCACTTGACATATGTTGATGAAACTGTTGTTGTTGTTGTTGTTGTTGTTGTTGTTGTTGTTGTTGTTGTTGTTGTGTTATCATAAATTAATTTTATTTTGAGGATGCTTTTGTACTGATAGGAGATTCTGGTTCCAAATGGGCTGGAGCTCTACTTGAAAGTGAACCTGAATCAGTACTAATCTCTTCTTCTCTTGATAATAAACCAACCCTTGAAGGATAATGACTTTATTTATCGTCTTTTGTAGGTCGAGCAATTGAAGAAGGGGAAGATGGAGATTGTGAAGATCTAGACCTTACTTAAGAACTTTAAAATGTTGTCCATATTCTAAGAATCTTTTGTTATCAACATTTGAAATTACTGTATCTCTTGAAGTGTTGAAATGTATAACTTATGCGATTGGGTTAAAACATTTTGGTTTTATGGATATATTAGCTTATTGGACAATATAGATTATGAAGTGTTGTATATTTTTATTTATATAAATTTCAAGTTATTACAAAATTTTATATGTATAAATATTCATTTACAACCAGGGCATAATAGTTTAATAGAACTGTTGCAATAATCTCGCAAACCGTTCCAATAGGTCTTGCAAATCGTTCCAATATGTGTGACAAACTGATGCAATTGGTAGTTAAAACTGTTGCAATAGGAATAAACCGTTACAGTAGCGTAATGAAACCATTAGAATAGTTGTAAATAAACGTTGCAATAGCTTACACAACCGTTGCAATAAATGTTATGGTAACAGTTTCTAACCATTGTAATAAATAATATGGTTACAATTTTCAGGCATTGTAAACTCTATGGTAACGGTTTTTAACCGTTGGGACTGGGAAGAATACTTGTTGCTTCAGATAAAGGAAAAACAGTTGCGATAGATAGCCCTCTAGCAACGGTTTTGATAATCGTTGCACGAACCATTACTCTAGATCTATTGGCATGCCAGCGTATGTAACGGTCGCTAAACCGTTCCAATAACTCTATGACAACGGTTTACTTGTTTGTTGCAACGGTTTTCCGGCTGTTACCATAGGCTCATTTTCCAATAGTGATATATGAGGAAGTTATCAAAGAAGTTGAGAATTTTGAGAATAAGCCTAAGTCCAACCTGGACGAAACCGAGATAGTCAATTTGGGAGATTCTGAAACCATCAAAGAAACTCGCATAAGTATTCACCTATCATCGTCGGAGAAGGAAAAATACACTTATTTCCTGAAAGAATATGAAGATATTTTTGCGTAGTCATATGATGACATGACCGATCTGAGTACATCCATAGTGGCTCATAAATTGCCTACCAATCTAATGTGTCCGCCAATGAAGCAGAAACTCAGAAAGTTCAAACCATATATGAGCTTAAAAATTAAGGAGGAAGTCGCTACGCAGATCAAAGCCAAGGTCCTCAGGGTAGTTAAGTACCCAACCTGGTTAGCCAACATTGTACCGGTTCCAAAGAAATACAGGAAAGTCAGGGTGTGTGTTTACTATCAGAATTTAAACAAAACAAGTCCCAAGGACGATTTTCTACTACCAAATATACACATTTTGATCGACAATTGCACCAAGTATGAACTCCAATCCTTTGTAGATTGCTTCGCAGGTTATCATCAGATTTGGATGGACGAAGAAGACGCAGAAAAAACAGCTTTCATTACACCATAGGGAGTGTATTGCTACAAAATGATGCCATTCGATCTGAAGAATGCTAGGGCCACCTACATGAGGGCAATGACAACCATCTTCCAGGATATGATACTTAAGGAAATAGAGGTATATGTTGACGACGTCATCATTAAATCCATAAAGGCCACATATCACATAGCAGACTTGAGAAAGTTCTTTGACTGACTGCGGAAGTACAATTTATAACTGAACCCCGCAAAATGTGCATTCGAAGTTCCGGCCGGAAAATTGTTGGGATTCATCATCAGCCACCGAGGCATCGAGTTGGACCCGTCAAAGGTTAAAGCTAACCAATAATTACCACCACTAAAGAACAAGAAGAACATGATGAGTTTTCTAGGACACCTTAATTACATCAGCCGCTTCACAACGCAGTCCACAATATTATGTGAACCAATTTTCAAAATGCTGAAAAAAGATGTTGCAACCAGTTGGACTAAGGATTGTCAGAAGGCTTTTGACAAAATCAAGGAATACTTGTTCACACCACCAGTCCTAGTCCCGCTAGATCCTGGTGGACCACTGCTACTCTATCGCTCTATATTAGATGGGGCTTTCGGTTGTGTTTTGGGACAACATGACGAGATGGGAATAAAGGAGCAAGCTATATATTACTTGATTAAGAAGTTCACACCTTACGAAGCACGATACTCTCTGTTGGATTGCACTTGTTATGCTCTGACATGGACAACTACATTTTCCACCCTTTTGCAGTATTAGATATCATAATCCAAGCCCAATAACTTAGTAATACCCATATGTTGTTGTCGGTTCTATTAGCTCCATTGGGTAATTTCGGGCTTAGGGGCATGTTCGTATTGTGTGTTGGAGGCCCGTAGCTTGTTTAAGCGTGAAATAACAAAAGTTGAAATTTAGAAGTTTCCGGTTTGATAGTGAAATTTTGATATCGGGGTCGGATCCCGATTCCGAGAATTTGAAGAAGCTTCGTAGTGTTGAATGTGACGTGTGTACAAAATTTCAGGTCATTCGAATGAGGTTTGATAGAATATTTGATCGAAAGCGGAATTTAGAAGTTTTGGAAATCCTTAAGCTTGAATCCAAGAAAGATTTGGTGTTCCAGCATTGTTTCGATTGTTCCGAGAATTGGTACAAGTCTGAGTAGTGTTATGTGACTTGTTGACATATTTGGTTGAGGTCCCGGGGGCCTCGGGTGAGTTTCGGGTGTTTAACGGATTGGAGTTTGGACTTAGGAAAATCTGAAGTTTGGCTTAACCTGTCATAACTGCACCTGCCTGTGTAGGACCGCAGGTGTGGCACCGCAGAAACGGTATGGGGACCGCAGGTGCGGTTTGAGGCCCAAGTGGAATTGGTCACAGATGCGGCCCAAGTGGAATTGGTCGCAAGTGCGACATTGGTCCATTTAATGAAATATCGCAGGTGCGATTGGTCTGCTGCAGAAGTGGGTCCATGGTCGTGGAAGTGATTCACTGGTCTGAAAAAGGGAAGAACGAGGGTTTGAACTCAAAACTCGGAAAAAATGATTTGGAGCTCGGTTGAGGGCGATTTCTCGAGGGTTTTTGAACGAGAAACATTGGATAACGTTTTCTATCTTGATTTTGATCCTAGAACCATAATCTATTGTTGTTTTCCTCTTCTAATTAAGGAAATTGGGGGTAAAAGTTTTGAAAATGGGAGAAGGTTTCCCTAGTTGAAAATTCTAGTTTTGAATGAGATTTTGACGTCGGATTTTTGTGATTTTTGTTCGAGTGTGTTCGTGAGTGATTAGGGGTTCTGACTTTGTAAATTTTATCCAATTCCGAGATGGGGGCCCGAGGGATTTTTCGGGCGTTTTTCTTAATTTCGCGTGTTAGCTTCGAATTAATTAGTTAAATTAATTACTTGAAGTTGTATTTACACTATGCAATCACTTTGAATAGATTTAGGTCATTTGGAGTCAGGTACTCGTAGCAAGAACATGATTTCGAGTAGATTGAGCTGATTCGACGTAAGTGGCTTGCCTAACATTGTGTGGGGGAATTCCCCTTAGGATTTGGTATTGTGTTATGTGAGTACCGTGTACGTGAGGTAACGCGTGCGTCTAATTTTAATTGTTGAAATCCCATTTTCATTAAGTTAATACCTACATTTTCTTGTAATTAAGCAATAATTGTACTTGAAGCCTTTTGCTTAGTTCAGGAAAAGCATGCTTACATGGTTTAACTGTCTTACCTGCTTTAATTGCCTACTTGTACTCCGTGCAGTATGTTAGAGTAGAATTTCCTGCCTAAATTCTATAATAGAACTGTAAACTCTTCAGAAGTTGTCGTGTGATTTACTTTGGGGCTACGGGACAATATCTCGGGAGATCCCCCTGCATGTTTACTTTGGGACTACAAATCGGTATTCCGGTAGATCCCCCTGCACATTTATATTTGGGACTACATGATACCACCCTGTAAATACACTGTATTGGATATTTACTTTGGGACTATGGATTGGTATTCCAGGAGTTTCCCCATCATATTTGTGATTCAGACTATGGGACGATATCTCGGGAGATCCCCTGTTGCTATTTCTGTGTGCTGAGTTAGATTCCTTATGTGTTTTCATTCGTTATCATATTTGTGATTCAGACTATGGGACGATATCTCGGGAGATCCCCTGTTGCTATTTCTGTGTGCTGAGTTAGATTCCTTATGTGTTTTCATTCGTTATCATATTTGTGATTCAGACTATGGGACGATATCTCGGGAGATCCCCTGTTGCTATTTCTGTGTGCTGAGTTAGATTCCTTATGTGTTTTCATTCGTTATATTCTATTAGCATTTTTAATTACGTTGTCATATTATACACTATTTTACCTTGTTTTTCATCTATAATCAGTAGGGCCCTGATGTTCCTCGTCACTACTCGACCGAGGTTAGGATTGGCACTTACTGAGTACCGTTGTGGTGTACTCATGCCCTCCTTGCGCATGTTTTTCGTGTGCAGATCCAGGTTCATCGGCTCAGCCATACTTCCAGTGAGGCGAGGCGATCTTCAGATACTTCGAGGTATATCTGCCGCATCCACAGACCGAGGAGTCCCTCTCTATTCTCCCTTCTAGCTTTAGCTCTCCTGTATTTACTTTTGTTTAAACATTCTGGAGTTAGAACACTTTGTAGTATTCCGCAGGTTGTGATTTCATGAGATGCCAGGTTTTGGAAGTTGATTCAGTTGAGAGTTTACATTTGTATATTCCGAGCATCATCTTAAACGCTTTATTTATGTTTTATTCGCAGTTTTTAGCTAGATTATTTTTGGTTCCTTTTTCCGCAAATTGTTAGGCTTACCTAGTCGTAGCGACTAGGTGCCGTCATAACAGTTCACGAAGGGCGAAAATTGGTCGTTACAAGTTAGTATCAGAGCTCTAGGTTCATAGGAATCATGAATCACAAGTCGGTTTGTTAGAGTCTCGCGGATCGGTACAGAGACGTCTATGTTTTTCTAGGAAAGGCTATGTAACTGTTAGGAAAATTTTACTTCATTTGATTTCCTTGTCGTGCGAGATTTTTGATATCACAATTCTAAACTTCCATCTTTTATTCTCTCATAGATAGTGAGGACACGTGCTACCGGAGATGACCAGGCACCTGCGCCCCCTGCTAGAGCCGTCATAGGTCGGGGCCGAGGCAGGGGTAGAGGCCGAGGACGCACTCATGGTGCAGCTAGAGCACTCGCGCGAGCTGCCACAAAGGAGCCACCAACAGCTCCAACTGGATTCCAGCCACCTGATACGACTACTGCTACTACTATTCCAGCTCTTCAGG